GCCGCGCACAACCGCACGTGCAGGTGAGGTCGCCAGGTGAGGGGCGGGCAGGACAGGGCTGTGGACTGGCTGGAAGGGGAGTTCCCCAGGATAGGAGACCAGTCCTGAGAACGGGGCGATCAGAGAGGCGTGGGCCCCGAGCCCTGCGCTTTCTGCCTTAAGCCACCGGCTGTAGGACTCCGGGGGCACGGGGCGGGGTCTGTGATTGCCCATCCTCCTCATCCCCCGGGTAGGGGGATTCGGCGGGTGGGGGGCGGGGACGGGGGCGGTTACAGCTGACACTCCAACAACCCCGGGTTGAATTTTTGGAAAATCTGAGCATATGACCCTCATAGTTGAAGTTCGTGTTGTTCAAGGGTCAACTTATAGTTCCCTTAATATATATATAATTTCAGAGAGGAAGGAAGAGAGATACAGAAACATCAATGATGAGAATGATGAGAGGGAATCATTGATCAGATTGATCAGCTGCCTCCTGCACGCCCCCCCCCTCCTCACTGGGGGTTGAGCCCCCAACCTGGGCATGTGCCCTTGACCAGAATAGATCCTAGGACCCTTCAGTCTGCAGGCCACTCCTCTACCACTGAGCCAAACCAGCTAGGACTATAGTTCCCTTTTTTTCTAGGTCATTTTCAGTCAATTTTGGTAGTTTTGTTTCGTTTTTACAGAAAACTCAGCTAAGCTTTAAAAGTGACACAGCCCTGGCCACATTGGCTCAGTAGAGCATTGGCCTGTCGACCTAAGGGTCAAGGGTTCAAATCCCGGTCAAGGGCAAGGTTGCAGGTTCCCCAGTGTGCTTGCTCACGTGTGTGGGGGGGTGGGTAGAGCAACCAAACGATGTGTCACTCTCCCATTGATGTTTCTCTCTCTCTCTTCCCACCTCCCTCCACTCCCCCCTTTCACTCTTGCCTGAAATCAATGGAAAAATTATCCTTGGATGAGGATTTAAATTTTTTTTTTTAAAGTAACACAAATTTACTCATAATATTCTCCTAGATTTTCTTTTGTTTTTGTAGTTATGGCTGCATTTTCTTTACAGATATAATTTGTGTCTTTTCCTTTCTCGTAAAAGTCAATTTTCTGGAGTTGAAACCTTAGCTCATTCATTTTTAGTATTTCTTGGATTTTAATAAACAAATTAATGTCTATAAATTTACTTGAATATATATATATATATATCCCTTACAAGTCACTTTCCATTAGGGCTGATAACATACCTGCTCTCCTTCAGTTCTAAATATTTCATAACTTCCATTGTGATTTTCTTATTTATCCATGAGTTATTTGGGAGAGTAAGTTCTCAAGCAGCCTTTTTTAAAAAAAAAAAAAAATTATTTCAGAGAGGAAGGGAGAGGGAGAGAGAGATTGAAACATCAGTGATGAGAGAGAATCAATTGGCTGCTTCCTGCACGCCCCCTACTGGGGATTGAACCCACAACCCAAGTATGTGCCCCTGACTGAAATCGAACCTTGGACCCTTCAGTCCGCAGGCAGACACTCTATCCACTGAGCCAAACTGGCCAGGGCCAGCCTTTTTTTAAAATTGAATTATACTTGACATACAATATTATGTTAGTTTCAGGTTAGTATTTTTATACACCATGATAAATCTAGCTATCAAGTGTAACAATAATATTATTACAATATTATTGGCTATATTCCCTACAGTGCATGTACAATAAATTCCTGTGACTTATTTATTTTATAGCTGGAAGTTTGTACCTCTTAATCCCCGTCATCTGTTTTACCCATCCTCCCACCCTCCTCTCCTTCGGCAACCAACAGTTTGTTCTCTGAATTAGAGTCTGTTTCCATTTTGCTGTTTTGTTCTTTAGATTCCATAAATAAGTAAAATCATATGGTATTTGTCTTTCTCTGCCTAAGTTATTTCACTTAGCATAATACCTTTTAGATCCACCCATACAAAATCTGTTTGCTACTCAAAAACAAAGGTCATTACCCAACCAGTGTGGCTCAGTGGTTGAACATTGACCTATGAACCAAGAGGTCATGGTTTGAATCCTGGTCAGGGCACATGCTTGATTCCCGGTGTGGGGCATACAGTAGGCAGCCAATCAATGATTCTCTCTCATCATTGATGTTTTTTTCTCTCTCTCCCTTCCTCTCTGAAATTTATAATATATATATGTATATATATGTGTACGTATTATATACATATGTAATTGATTCTGATTTACTTGGAGGGCAGAGAGCCTAAAGAGTTGATATGTAAATCTCTCACATTGTTGAGGCTTCTTCATGATCTGATCACAATGGGTTTTGCATATATTTCAAGTGAACTTGAAAACATATTTTTTTCACTGTTAATTTTGGAGCAAGTTTCTTTATATACTAGTAGGCCCGACTTCTTAATTTTATTGTTCGGATTTTCTTTTTTTTTTTTTTTAAATATATTTTATTGATTTTATACAGAGAGGAAGGGAGAGAGAGACAGAGAGCTAGAAAAATCGATCAGCCGCCTCCTGCACATCTCCCACCGGGGACGTGCCCGCAACCCAGGCACATGCCCCTGACCGGAACCGAACCCGGGACCCCCCAGTCCGCAGGCCGACGCTCTATCCACTGAGCCAAACCGGCTTCGGCTATTGTTCGGATTTTCATCTCCCCCTTTTCCCTGCTTATTCTATCAGATTCTAATAGAGGTGAATTAAAGCTTTTCAGTCTTTTCAGGTAGTTCTGCCAGGTTTTGCTTTATGTATTTTGAGGTTCTTAGCTGCATACAAGTTCATATTTGTCATCTCTTTTTAGTGGATACTTTCTCCATTTATTCTTTTTTTTCTTTATTGTTTTATTTAAAATATGTTTTCATTGATTTTAGAGAGAGAGGAAAGGAGAAGGAAACAGAGATAGAAACCTCAATGAGAGATGAGAAACATCATCGATAAGCTGTCTCCTGCATGTTCCCTGCTGGGGACTGAGCCTGCAACCTGGGCATATGCCCTGAGCAGGAATCAAACCAGAAATCTCTTGGTGTATGGGTCAGTGCTCAACCACTGAGCAACACCAGCTGGTCTTTCTCCATTATTCTTTTTCCTTTTTATTCCTCTTCTACTTCCTGATGAATTAGTGTTCTGTATTTTTTCTCTTTACACTCATGTGGAACTGATGCTGTATATTTTTATTATTTTAGGGACTACCCTTATTTTTTAGCATACAATCTTAACTATACACTTTTCTAACAAATCCTGAAGGAATTTATTTTTGTCTCATTTCCTTGTGTGTGACAAGGATCTTCATGTGCTTTACCACAACCTATTGAGCACCCATCAGTCCATCTTATTGTTCTACAGTTTTAATTTTACTATTAAAAACACACAGAAACAGTTTGTCATTTGTTAATCACATCTATTTGGGGTATTAACAGTAGTGGGCCCAGGTTAGCCTAGTGGGGGAATGGGATAACCCAGCTCATCCTCCCCTTTGGGACCATAACAGTAAGAGCTAAAAGTGCTGTCAGAGGCCCAGAATTTTAGCATCAGGGAGGCCGAAGGTGGAGATGCCAAGAAGTCATCTGCCACGATCCCCACACCGAGTCCCATATTTCCTGCAGGTATCGGGCATTCAGGGAAGACGATGGGCATTATTCCGGGACTTACTGGAACCTTCTGGCTATCCGTCTGGCCTTTGTCATTGTGTTTGAGGTAGCTGGGGCACCTCCCAGGCCCTCTGTTGGCTTCCTCTTCTTGGCCTTAGCATGATTCCCCCACCCTCATGCTTTGCCTAATCTCACCATGTGGTTTTGGGGTTGGTGTGTCCAAAGGAATTGAGCCCTGGTCTTACCGCTCTGTCACTGTGGTCGAATCACAGTTCCTCTCTGCATCATTTCTCCATCTGGAGAAGGGAGCAATCCCTGCCTAGCCTGTCACAGGGCTGTGCGGACATCAGGATGCTCTGGGCACCATGTAGTGTCCCAGGGAAGCTACATGGGGCCACAGAAGCAGGGGGTGGTCTCTGGGGCCATGACACTGCTGCTTTTCAGTTCACCCACACCTGGGAAGCAGGTGTCCACACCTGGGCCCATGAAGGCCACATTGGGTAGGTAGGGTGTCCATGGCTGGTCCTGTCCCCTCTCCCAGCATGTGGTGTTCTCCATCGGCCGGATCCTCGACCTCCTGGTACCTGACATCCCTGAGTCTGTGCAGATCAAGGTGAAGCGGGAATACTACCTGGCCAAGCAGGCGCTGGCTGAGAACGAGGTGAGCCCCCACCCACAGCCCTCGTGCGCCCACTGTGGAGTGGCCCCAACCAGGTACTTGCTGCCAAGCAGGCCGGGGTGCATTTAATCACACTCTCCTCGGCCACCCTCCTGGACACAGGCTCTCTTGGGGACGAATGGAGCCAAGGACGACCAGCCCTCAGCCTCAGAGGAGAGTCTGGGCCCACAGCCTAGGCGACCAGAAGCCAGCCGGTCCTCGCCAATCCCTTCCCTCTAAGGTCGCAGGGATCATGTTGGGGGCTGAGGGGCCTGGAGTCAGACCCACCTGGAGTGCAGAGTCCTCAGGCCCTGGAGATGAGAGGCCTCCTCCTCTCCTTCTCCTCAGCTGCCTTGGGCCCCTGCTCCTGCCCCCTGCCTCCCAGGTCCTGGTTGCAGCCCCCACTGGCCACCCCTTTAGAGTACCCAAAGCCAGGCGACTCTAGCAGGGGAACCTGGTGGGCTGGGGCATGCCTCCACCATCTCCCTCCCAGCCCCATGAGCCAGTATCCTCTCCTCACACTCCCCCAGGGGCAGAATGGCTCCACCCTGAGACTTGCTCCTGTCACCCCCACCCGCCTCTGGGCACACTGCCTACTCCCCTACATCTTTACTCAGAGCTGTGGCCCTTCCAGGCCTCAACCCTCCACTTCGTGCCATCCTGGGTCCCTGCACCCACGCCCCCCCCACCCTCCCTGCTCACTTCTTACTTGCCCATCAGCCCTCACATGAATCATCTGCCAATCTAGCCAGTGGACTCTGGGTCCTGCGTCCTCTGGTGTTTTGATCCTGCTGTCCTTGGAATGATGGAATGACCCCTCTCTAGGCCCACCTGGTTACACAGAGTCCTGCCTGCCCCCCAGCACTCTATGTTCCAGGTCACAACCTGGAGTCAGCTCAATCCCTCACCCACTTTCTCCGCTCCCCATTCCTAGCCAAGGGCTCCTGAGTCTGTCACCATTTCTTGAACCTGGTGCCCCCTTTCACTCCCAGCCACTATGAGTGACCTCTCAGGCTAAAAAGCTGTACTGCCCAGCTCCCTCCCAGACTATAGCCTGAGGCTGAGGAAGGTTTGGAAGAAGACTCAATTTTATTCCCTGACCTGTGAACACTGGAGTTTCCCGTATGTTTACACATGATCATCTCCAAAGTTGGGAGCACCTTAGTACATCCAGTTGGACCTTGTCCACTGACCAGCTTGTGAACCCCCTTCCACAGCCTCCTTCCATTAACTCAGTTAACCGCTGTGCCCATGCGTGACTCCACCACGGGGTGCTTGCCCTTGGCTGTGCACTCCCTGCTGGGTGTGTGGGTTTTCTCCACCTGTACCTTGTAATTCATGCTGGAATAAACCTCCCGAAGTACTGTGCGCACCACTGGCTTCCTCGGGGCACACTCCTAGACGCGCTGTCAAACTTCCTCCAGAAGGACCCATCGATACCTCTCTGCACAGCATTCTTGCCAATGTGGTGCCATTAGAAACCCACCGCTCTGGCCTCAGGCAGCACTGTGTGCACTGCAGGCAGCGTTTCCGAATGAGGTGAGCAAAGGTGCCATTGGCACTGCTTCTGGGCATCACTCATTCATCCACTTTGAGAAAAGGGATGGTCCTTGGAGCAGCAGAGCCGCCCAGTGGTGAGGCCAAATGGTTCCATCATGCAGTGTCCTCACAACATCCACAAGTACTTCCTTCCAGTGGTTGCTTTATTGCTTTCTCAAACTTTGTAATTTTAGAGTAAATCTATTGAACATAAGAAAATACTTGAGCCTTAACTCAGGTTTTCTTGAAGTGAACACACACAATTGTAGTCAGCATGTCAATCTAGACAGCCTATCATCAGCCTAGTGCCTGGCATGGACCCTCCCACCTAACCCCTTCCCACCCAGAGTGGCCACCACCTTGGACTCTAATGCAGTGGAACCCAGAGTCTGGCCCCGACCTTCAGGGGTGGTGCATCACGGGCCCATCCTGCTGCCATGTGCACTCCCTGTAGCTCTGACCCTTGACGCCTCAGTCCTCCCTCATATGACAGGTGGTTCCTCTGTATCTGCCTGGAGGCTGGGAGCCAGTCCTGGGGACACCTCAGTTTGCTGAGAGAGATCATTCAGGCAGAATCCTGAGCTGAGTGAAGTAGCAAGGTACTGCTTCACAGCAGGTGAGGCAAGGTCAGGAGCCCAGGGACAGGCAGCCAAACAGCTGTGACCACTGCTGGCCTCCCACCATGGCCCCTGCAGGGCAGTCAGTTAATGTGGTGCTGAGAACTACAGATGCCAGCTGGGAGAATCGCACCAAAGATAACTGTTTATGGATGTCTGTGACCACTCGAGTGCCATGGACTGAGAACACATGTGGTGTGATAAAACGAGCCTCGGCACACTGCATCTGGTTTTGGGTTTTATTTTAGAATTTATAAAATTCCAGTGTCATCCATATTCATGAGCCTTTACACATGTTTGCATATAATCTCCAAACTCCAAAGTTAAGGCCAAGGGATGGATTTTAACTGTGGACACACATGATATGGAAGACAGTCAACAAGAGGAAATGGACACTCATGCCCCACCCTTGCCCAGGGCTCCTGCAGCAGCACCAGAGGCAGCAGGAGAGCCCCAGGCACAGTCACCTCATGAGCCTGACTAACAGCCACACAGTGAGAACCCGCACAGTGTAGGAGAGGGGGCTGCACTTACATTTAGGAATAAGTGCAGATGTGCAAACACCTGTTGGGGCAATTAAAAATCCACCTTTGCGGGGAGGGGGTTAGATATCACAGAAACATGAGGTTCAGGCAGATGCCAGAGGGCAGGGAGGGGTCGGAGGGGAGGGCAGTACACTGGCCAATAGGAAAGGCTCCAAAACTCATGCAGATAGAAGGAACTCCAGGGACCAGGGAGGTAGGGGATGGTCCTGGAGAAAGGCAAAACAGCAACTTCCCTTCTCACTTCCTTTTTCAATTGACTCCACCTAATTTGGGGTCACCCAACCTATTCAGCTGGAGCAAATGTTTTCCTACCCCAATTCATCACTTCTACACATGGGCACATTTGAGGCTGCTTGAGCTAATGGGAACTCAGAGACAATTGATACCAGACTTGTGTTCAGCAATTCTGGTCTATTCAGAAATTTCAGTCTAAAGACTGCCAAGCTGAGCAATCACCGAATAGAAAACTTCATGGAGAGGGTGGTCAGGGAAGAAGTGACCTTCCCCAGGGAAGGGCTGGGCAAGGGGTACTAGTTGGCTTCTCTAGGAACTCCATTATTTGGATGGAAAACTTGAGAGGGGCTCAGTCACCTCTACAGGGGTAGAGGTGGGGATGGGAGACCAGACAACCTGGAAACCAAGGGCCTGTGGCTCTCACAACACCGCCTTGGCCACCTTTCCTCTCCAGAGCACATCACCATGCTGGCTGGGGCAGGGCACCCTGCCCCACCACCCTGAGAAAAGCAGATTCCCTTAGCAGGACCTGGTCCTCCAGCCCAGGTTGAGTGACAGCCTCTCTCCACCCCAGGACCAGGAAGCTGCCTCTGAAGGCCAGCTCCCAGGGTCAGCACACGGAATCCATGTGTCCGAGGGCAGCCTGTAGGATGGTGTACGCACTCTCCACTCTGGACTTTCCCACTGGCCACTTGCAAGTGAGGGTGCGACCCAGAGCTGTGACAGTCAGTGGACTCAGGCACTCGTGACCAGTGCCGTTGCAATCAGGAGGCTGAGCACCTGGGGCGGCACCACCCTCACCATGAGATCACTACCACACTGGCTCTGAGGTAGAAAGGAGACTGGACTCGGCATTTGGGGAGGGGCAGGAAAGCTGAAGTCGGTGTGACAGGTCAGCCGGGAGGGGAAGTGAGTCTCCTCTGCGGGCCACCTCTCTCCCCATCCCTGTGGGTCTCACACCAAACCCAGGTGGTAGATGCAGCCTCACTTACAGGCCTTGCCCACCAGATGCGGGTCCTCCGGTGCCTGTGGTGCAGGAGCACACACTTGGAACCTGGTCCCCTCTCTGGGCCCAGGTGCTCCAGTGTGCACAATGGGCCTTCTTCCCTCCCTGTGGACTGGGATGTGCGGGCTTTGGCAGTGGGAAGGAAGCGGACTGCAGTCTACAGAGGGCTGGACTACAGGCAGAGGGAGAGAGAGAGAGCTGGGAAAGGAAGAGGGCAAACGTTTGGCTTTTCTAAAGTCAAGGAAATTTATTTCCTGAGGTCACGACACAGGAAGTGGGCTCAGCCCCAGCTGTGCAGCAATCTTAGTGGGGCCAGGGCCTTATTGACATGCCGGTGGACCGGGAAGCTTGTCGTGAAATGTCCAATTGCCTCTATTAGTGTTTGAACCGTGGAAAGCCGGCCCACAGCCGGTGTCAAGGGCAGATCCTGAGCACGTGCCGGGCGCTGGCCAGGCCTGAGGACCAGCTGCACACAGCGCCAGGCGCCCGGCTTCACTGTGAGACCTCGGGGAGGGGGAAGCGTCAACAATTTATGGAGGGTCCAGCTGCTGAGTCAGATTGAAACAAACCATTGCGTGGTGGGGTTTGGGTCAGCAGGCTGGAGAGGTTTGTTTTCTGATCATTATCGTTTGGGGCCCCAAGGGAGGGTCTTGGGGGCCACCTGAGCCCCAAAGCTGGGAAATTCTTCAGAGCTGCTCATATCTGGAGCCTGTGGGGACAGAGAGGGCACAGCTTTACTAAGCAAGTTTCACTCAGGAAGCTCCAAAATGGACCCACCCTGACCCTGGGCCCACCCACTGGCGGGTAAGTGGGGCAGGCATCCCCACTTCCCGGGCACAGGGAGGGCACCCAGGATGAGCACTGTCTGACCTTCTCACTGCTGTTGGCAGTCCAGGGAGCGTCCCGAACCACAAAGCCCTTGGAAGGTGCCTTGGACTCCTCGTGGGCTGGGGGCTTCATGTACACCTGCAGGACCTCGCTGTCCACCACGTCGGCCAGCTGTGGGCACAGGTGGGATCAGCTGGCAGTAGTGATTCCCCGTGAGCATCCACCACTGTGCTCACCCTGCTCTGAGGCGCTGGGGCTCGCCTGCACCTGGCAGGCATCTGAAAACACCTGCATGTGGCCTCATGTGACCCTAGAACTCACATATTCTTCCTCCAAGTTGAGGATGTGGTCGATGGCCTCCTCCACGTTCTCTGGGAGCCCCGTCACGGTGACGCAGTTGGGGTCCGGGGCCCCGCTCTGCGGGAAGCGAATGTCCACCTGGAAGGAGCACACATAGCAGCTGAGGTGGCTCCAAGTGCCCATTAGAGGATTTTGGACTAAACAGTGGCCATTAGGAATGGCTGGAACAGTCCATTTCTAGTGTTTTCCCTTTGGGTTCATGAAACCTAAGAACCTGGTTCATGGTCCCTCATCTTCACATGTGAGGCCAGTGCACTGCAGAAGCAGCTGGTGTAGATGCCCCAACTCCAAGATGTGTATACCTCCTAGGGATTGGCTGGGGTGGCAGGCAGCCAAACCTTTGGAGCTAGCATAGGGCACTGACCAACGGCATCAACTATACAGCTGTAACCCCACTTGACCTCACCGCCTTAGCGATGAGCACCTGAGCCTTGGATGTCCGCCCTTTCAGACCTCTGCTGGCCCGTGAGTGTGCTCAGCAGTTTCGGCAGGAAAACTGAGGCCCTGGTGTCCCTCACCAGCCCATGGAAGAAAGCTCTGACAGCAGGGAGTATGCCGATCTCACCCATGGGGCTTCCAGAACTAACATACACTCTTCACGGTGGGGCTGAAGACACACCTTGAATTCATCCATGATTTTGCGAATGGCTTTGCCACGGGCACCAATGATGCGGGCGTGGACACGGTGGTCTAATGGGACGTCCTCAGAAACCATCTGTTCAAGTTCACCCACAATTTTCAGTATGGCATCCCGGGCAGCTTCTGTGTTCTTTTCATACCCTGTGATGGTGATTTGGTCCTGCGGCTGAGAAAGGAGAATCCCATCAGAAGAGGACATGTCCCAGGATTCCTGGCTGGGAGGGCACACAGGGACTGGAGAGTGTTAGCTGGATTGAAGGAGGCAGGCTTCAGTTCAAGGGGAAAGCCCGATCCACTCAGAAGAGAAAGAAGGGGAAAAGAAACAATATCCATTTATTTAGCTCCTGCCCCTCCCAGTAACCCACAGGAAAAGAAAGAGCACCTGCCCACAAAGTCACGGCAGGACACTAGCAGGTGAGAGTCTGGGGAGGTCCCCCTGGGCCTCTCATCTGGAGGGGTCTCAGTGAAGACGACCGACCTGACCTGAAAGAAGGTGCCAGACGGTGTAGCCAGTACCCCATACCTCTGATCATACAAATGTCTGGATGAGCACACGAGATTGGTAAAGAGTGAGCAGAGCAAATGGGTAATTCAAGGCACAGAGAAAGAAATGGGAAAACAAAATAATAGCCTCAGACCACATTCTTAACACACTGCGGGTGGATCACGAGCATTCTCATGTTTGCATATTACACAGTGTTTTACATAAATGTTAAAGGCACGCCTTAAAATTAAATACGCACTGCATTTTTAAGTTATTTATTACATGTTCTTACAAGCTAAGTATGAGAGTTTGTAAAACCTATTTTGTACTCGTTCACTAGAAACTTATCTGGCCACTGGGTAAAGCCAGCAATAAAACTACTGGTGCGCAATGTGTTAAGGACAGAAAAGAGTATTATACACGCCAAAAAAAAAAGAACAGAACATAGTGTAAGAGAACCAGAGAATCAGAATAAACATCAGGAGCCCTGGCCAGCATGGCTCAGTGATTAGAGTGTTGGCCTGAGAACTTAAGGGTCACGGGTTCAATTCTGGTCAAAGGCACATACCTGGATTGCAAGTTCCCTGTCCTGATTGGGGTGTGTGTGGGAGGCAACCAATTGATGTGGCTAATATCAATGTTTCTCTCTCTCCCCTCTCCCTCCCCTCCACTCTCACTAAAATCAATTGGAAAAATATCCTCCAGTGAGGATCAAAACAAAGTAAAACAAAGAATAACCTGGAAATGGAATAGAGGAACAGGAACTTAAAAGACCCATCTGGGAGAGAGACAGAGAAACCCCAGGAGTCTAGGTGAAGCAGATGTAGGACAGGAGACGACCCTATCCAGTCCCCACCCAGCAATGCCCAGAAACCCCCACTCCCCAGTGAGGCATCACGCAGGGCAGAACACAGTTGGCATAATTCTCACAGGAAAAAGCTTTGTATGAAAGATGTAGCTGACTGACCCTACTTGGTTCATGGGATGTTAATAGTCTAAACACTAAATAATGACTTTACAAAACCAATAATTATATGGGAAATTTGTGGGAAATAAAGGTGAGGGGTTGGAGAGAGCTAAATTCTCAAGATCAAGATAATTAAAACATCAAATAAAAAATAAAAAAAGAACAGCAATGTAAACATAATCCTTAGAAACAGAGATCAACAGAAGAAAAGGCAGTGAAAGGCTGTACCTGGGGCAGGATCAGTTCAGGGAGCACAGAGGAAAAGGGATGCGAGGTCAGCACCTACAGGCCTGACTCACTTTCTGAATGACAAAGACCCTGGAAGGGAAGGCTGGGGAGAGAAGCAGGCAGGAGGCCCGCAGTGACGCTCAGACACAGGTTGGAAAGGCATAGTATGGTGGGACCAGGCCAGTCTGCAGAGGCTTGTTGGGATTTTCTGGCCAGAAGGTTCCAGGGAACCATTTCTGGGTGCTCTGCTGTGCAGCAAATACTGCAGGAGACCCAAGGAGAGACTGGGCTCCCCACCTCCCCGAGAGCCAGGAAGGGCCAAGAGATATAAGACAGGCAGGGATATGGGATGGGGTGGGCCCAATGCAGTGCAGAGGGCAGAGGGTGTGCAGTTCTGCAGGGCTCTACCTGTGAGGACAACTGTGCGAGGACCCTGCCAGAGCCCCCAGATAGGCACAGGAAAAATGCCCAAGTCCACATGGCAACACATCCATGACAGGGAAACCTCACCCAACTGGCACATGCCAAGATGGGGCCCAAATCCGGAGCCAAACTCAGTCCTCAAAGACCTGCCACTCTGGATCCTGCTCTCTCACCTCCCAGCTGAGCTCCTCCTGTTTGCCTGGTCACTGTTCCCAGTCAGAACAAATGTCAACGAGAGTCCATCTGCCCCCAAAGTACTCCAACTTGCTATCTGACCCGAGATGTCTCTTACCTGGTTCCCATCATCCTTATCAGGAAATTGGATGTTCACGTCATGCTCCAAGCGGATTTGGGTAATCACTGCCCCCTTTCTCCCAATGATTTTGGGATGGTATTTAGGGTCGACAGTGACGCTTAGCTTAAAACTCCTTAAAGCCTGTGGATAAAACAAGTGAGAATGAGGCAAAGGGTGGAACACTTGAGCCTTGAGCTTCACTTCACTATCACATGTATCCACATGCCTCTACTCCATCCTACACTTGGAAAGTGTTCTCTGTTACCACAGCAACAAGAACAAGCCACAGCTTTTCCATGAGTCTGTGCCACATTCCATCATCAGCTAGTAATGAAAACCAGAGCCTTGACCTGCACAACCAGGTCCACTGGGCCTTCAGAAAAGGACCGGAGAGGCCTGGATGATAACAGGTGGAACTGTGTGTTCGAAGATATGGAGCAGGGATCTGAGGAACAAGCATTAAAAAGGCTAAAAAGAAAGGAGGGAACCAAAGTGGTAAGGGGACATAGCCCCAATGTGTGTGCCCAGAAACCTGGTCAGAGGACAGACACCCTGCAAAGTCAGTGCTGTGCCCAAGACAACTGTGCCACACTGACACTGCAGGATGTCTGAGCTCAGTCATGCACCTCAGTGAAGAGTTGGTACCCTGCTTAACCTGCAACACTACTAACAGTGCCCAGGACCCGCCCACTGTGCGTCACTCTTGTGAACCCCCGGCTCCACCACGGGTGGGCGGGCTGTCACCCCTCATCAATAGCAGGGACACCGCACCCACTCTGGGCTTCAGCATATCCTGGGGTCTCTCCAGCAACAGCTCTCAAAAGCTCTCAGAGGGCCTCTCAACCTCAACTTCCCTATAAAGTTGAAGGCACCAACACGTCTCCCGATGTACTTGGGAAGAACTTGCTAATAAGCAAGCAACACTGTTCTGATAAAGACTCCCCACTTAACAAGACCTCTGGATGTTGACTGGGTCTGCCTCCAGCCTCCTGATTTAACTGGTTGAAGTGTAGCCGGGGTGCTGGGTCTCTTAGAAGCCCCTGGTGATCCTCAAGTGTGACCACACTTAGAGAAGAAACATCCACGGCCCCACCTGCTGCTCACCCGGTCCTCCTGCTCTGCCTGCAGCTCCCGCACACGCTCCAGGAGCCCAGCCTTGGCCCGGTCCAGATTTGCAGCGAGGCCTGTGATGGCGATGACATCAGACTGCAGCTCAGGTGCCGGGACGTGAATATTCACCTGGTGAACACGGGAACAGACCTGATGTACGTGGGGGTCCCTCAGGATGGGGATGTGTCTATCTGGCTCCTCTGACGGTGAGCTTGGAAGCCATGATCAACCTGTCACATTTGGCCAGGAGATACACCCACAAGCTGGGGACAAGGAGGTTGGGTAGTGTGAAGCGTGATAACCAAGAGCAGGAGGAGGGCACCTCCCCTGGGTTGGGTGTGTGACAGCTCACTTCCTAAACCTGGTAGCCAGGGATAGGACCTGCAAACTGCTTACCTCAAACTCATCCATCATCTTGCGGATCCCGCTTCCCTTCTGTCCGATGATGTACCGGTGAAGGTCAAAGGGCACTTCCACTTCAATGGTGACAGGAACCAGAGCCTACAGGGAAGAGGGTTGTTAGGCCCAGAGCAGTGAGCAGTGACTCTGTGGGCTCAGCAACAGGACTTCATGGAGAGAAGTACAGTGCATGTCGGAACTTTCCTTACTGTTCCCCCTGGACTGAGTAGGCCACTGCTAACCCCAGAGAAAACATGGGAGAAGGTCCAGTATTAATGCTGGCAGAGCAGCTTTCAGACCCTGGCCCCAAGCCTCTGCTCTTAAATATAGAAGGCCCATTAGTGACGCAAAACAATAGAACAAAAATCCAGGAAAAACAGGACTTGAGACCTATAGGGGCAGGGGAGAGCCCTTAGACATGGAGGCTGCCCCGACCCCCAGCCTCACAGAGGTAAAGAATGGACTATGACCACCCTAGTCCCAACCGCCTCCAATGGCACCAACCCCTAGACATGGGAGAGCTGTTTCTCACCTGTCTCTCGGCTCAATGCAGAGGCTTTGTACATTGTGCAGCATTTAGAACAGCACCCAACATGTAGGTGGCACTCAGTAAGTACTCACTGCAAAACTGATTCATCCTCGCCCTAGCCGGTGTGGCTCACTGCATAGAGCGTAGGCCTGCAGACCGAAAGGTCCCAGGTTCGATTCCAGTCAAGGGAACATGCCCGGGTTGCGGGCTCAGTTCCCCAGTGGGAGGCATGCAGAAGGCAGCCAATCGATGATTCTCTCTCATCACTGATGTTTCTATCTCTTTCTCCCTCTCCCTTCCTCTTTGAAATCAATAAAAATAGAAAGACAACCATCTGTAACAGTACAATTCATTTAAACAACAATAAAAAAACACTCGACTCATCCTCACAAGTCCAAACATCCCTACTTCACAGAGAGGGACACTGAGACCCTCCAACTGTGCTCTCTGCAGCCCCCAGGCTTGCAGGCCGAGGCTGGCCCCATGCTGCTGCCAGGACTGGGGAAGGAAATGCCACAGTCTGCAGTACAAGCCACAGTGCTCGGACTTAGGACTTTATAAAGTGAATCTGCCATTAGGGAAGCATCCCTCAGGTCACCACTCACCCCCAAGGAGGGGGAGGAGCCACACGCACCTCAAGGGCTTCCTTGGCAGCTTCACACTTTTCCTTGCGGCCAGAGATGATGATGATATCACACCTCCTTGGAGAGCCAGGGTCAGCCTCTCTGCCCTCCCCAGCATCGTCACCATTCTCCTGGACAGCTGGCTCTGCACTATGAACTGGGGAGAGAGCAGAGGAGCAGGTCACACAGGCCTCAGTCATACTGCCTCACTTTCAACATGGACATGAGTACTCGAGACACAGGAACTGGTGGCAGGAGAGGTGAGAGGTGCCCACCGTGTTTGAGAGGGGAGGACAGATGTTCCCATGGCCCAGGAGACCTGGTTCTGGGAGGAGTCAGTGGGAGGGACTTGAAAGATTTAGGAGGGACAAGGTGACGCTGCACCAGCTTCTTCTGCTACGAAGAAAGCAAGCCACAAGAATAAAGCGACCTGAAACAGGACACACAAGCAGCTGGTGAGGCTCCCGTGGGCCACACTGGGGACCATGTATGTGCCCAAATTAACACCAAAAGAATATTCCTGGTGTGAAACAGAATCCAGTAGTCTGTACAATATAAATAAGTAAGCAGGCATGACTGCCTAGAGCAGTGATGGTGAACCTATGACACGCATGTCAGAGGTGACACGCGAACTCATTTTTTTGGTTGATTTTTCTTTGTTAAATGGCATTTAAATATATAAAATAAATATCAAAAACATAAGTCTTTGTTTTACTATGGTTGCAAATATCAAAAATTTTCTATATGTGACACGGCACCAGAGTTAAATTAGGGTTTTTCAAAATGCTGACACACTGAGCTCAAAAGGTTCGCCATCACTGGCCTAGAGCCATCATGATCCTGGATTAAAATTGGGGGGCGTTTCAAAACAGAAAATCTGAATGTCAACAATGAATTCATAACTCACATAATCAGATCTACAGATTCTGATGAACATACTAGGGTTATCGCAACTGATGTACGAACATCCTTACTCTTAGGAAATAGCCATTATGGAAAAGGGGCAGGTCTGAAAACACAGTGTGTGCGTGTAAAGAGATGGGTGGGTGAGAAAGACAGGGAAGGTTTGAATAGTGAGTACAAAGAGTAGATTTTTGTTCTGTTCTGTGCAATTTTTCTGAAGTGTGAAATTATATAAAAATTTAAAAGATATTCTAGTGTGAAACATAAATGTGACATGTATGATCTAACTAGCTTTCAACTCAAATTAGCCTATATTCCGAGAGAAGCAGAGGAGCTTCGGTGGCCAAGACAAGCTGCAGCACCAGGCAAAGTCAGAATACACCAGTGCACTCAGCAGGCTGCAGGCCCCCAGCTCATCCCAGCTTGCCCCCCGTGGGTCCAGGGAGACTAGTCACAGAGAGAACGCTTTTTTGTGACAACAGGAGGAGCGCAAAGAACTTACAAAGTTAGGTCTGAGATAAAAGCCAGATCCTGCTTATAGGTCACCTCCTAGCCAATCCCATCCTGGGGACAAGAAGCAGAACCAGATGACAAGCAAGATATTGGGAGCTGAAGGACCGTCCCAGAAGAGCAGCCAGTCACCCAGTGACATCCTTGGATGGGTCAGAGGCTGCTAACCCTTCTGTAGCTGTCTGGCCTCACGAGGCACAGGACCCACAAGGAATCCAGGGAGGGAGGCTACTGCTGTGCACAACAGGTGCAGCCTCACCACAGCTCTCACAGGGCCTGTGAGGAGCAGGGGAACTGAACACGGGCTTCCCCTCCATAAGAGGCTGCATGCAGGTCCTTTCTCTCCTCTGGCCTTGTCATCAGCTGCAAGCCTCTAGGACATCTGAAGGGCACCTCGTTACCTTAAAGCAACTGACGAGGCCACCACCTGGGGACCAGGGAGCCTGAGCCTCTGAAAGCCCCGGGTCCCCTGACATGTCCAGCACCAAGATGGATGAAGCTTCACCAGGAAACATGTCCCCACATCTCCCCAGACCAGGACCATTCATACTCCTACCTCCCACCTAGCATAGAACTCCCCGTGGGGACCCACCTGGGTTCTCCTCTTTGTCTGGGAATTTAATTTGAACATTATAGTCCCGAGTGATCTGCTGGATTCTGGAACCTTTGGGGCCCATGACAGAGCGATGGAATTTCTGGGGTATGGCACACTCTATGGTCACCTGGGCTTCCTGAGGGGAGGAGGGCACAGCAAGAAGAAAAACAAAGGCAAAGGTTAAGGTTAACTACTTATGATTGATTCCTGTTTACACCACCTTCTTCTGCAGCCACTTCCAGGAGTGCAGACACACCCCTTTTCCAAGATGAACCCAGGGCTCATCTTACAATGGGTTGAAGGGAGAAGGGTTGTGGGAGGGGCCACAGGAGGCCTTCTGAATCATTTCCCCAAAAGAGGAAAGCATCAATGGTTCAGCCACACAAACTACTCTGCTGCTTGCTCCCAACCAACATTTGAATACAGCAGCATCTGATTTCTCTCCATACAGGGAGCCCCTGCTATGTTAGCACCTGGCCATGTTAGTTCCAGGTGATAGGGACCTGAAGATGCTGTGGCTGTGACTCCAGTTCTAAGGCCATGGCAGGGAGGTGCCAGGAGAAAGGGCCCAGTTCTCTACAGGCTGGTTTAGAAAGCCCAGTATGTCTATGTGACCTCTCCGTGGACTCCCTGGCACTGTCAACCTCCTTTCCTCCCTTTGGAGCAGAGGAGGAGGGAGGCAGCTGGTTCCTGTACACATGGTACTTTCACAAAATGGACAGCTAAGTTGCTTCTCACAGGCAGCCTTCACCCACTGAAGGAAGGGCGAGGAGGGAGGGGGCCTGCAACCCGAGGGATGTTGGGGGCAAGCCGACTCCCCAGCTTTGAGTGGCTGCCAGGCCTAGCACCCTACAAACTTCTAGGTGCTCACCAGGTCTTCGATGATCTCCTGGATGCGCTTTCTGGCTGCCTCCACACATTCCTTGGCACCCTTGAGAGTCACTTTGTCACTCTGTGTGCCAGACCGTGGGAAGCTAACCATCACCCCACCGTACTCCTCGGCGATTTCCCGCAAGACTTGGCCTCTTCGAATAACAAAATGACGGTGGTGCTTGGGGTCCACCAGCATGTAGTCTTCTACCACATTATCCTGTAGCATGGAGACAAGAGAAAGTAAAGGACCAATGGTGAAGGCCCCATTCCCGATGCTCAGGTGGCCCCAGGGAGACAGGGCCTTACCAGGTTCTGAATCAAGGCCTCCAGCTCCTTTTGGGCCTCCTTGACAGCATCTTCTTTTCCGATGATGGTGATCAGGTCCTGGTCCTTGTCCTCTGCCGTTGGGAATATGATGCGGGCTCCGGTGGTGTCACGTACCTTGCGGATCTTGCCACCCCCTTTGCCAATGAGGAACTTGTGGTACTCCGGCTTGGCTCGGATGTCAACAGTGAAACTCTTGGTTTGCTGCAGAAATCAACCCCATATACATTGGCCTAATGCCATCTGTCTGGCCCCTGGAGCAGGTGAAGAAGAAGCCTGATAGGACAAGAGTGTGGGGTGGAGCTTACCTCACGCTGTCCCATCGTCCTCTTAATGAGGCTAATCAAACCTCACCCAAAGAAATGCATGGCCATGCAGACCAACTGCCCTTGTACTTTGCTTAGCCTCAGTGGAAGATACCAAGACAGAGTATCAGACCCAGAGTCCCATGCCTGTCACTTATCAGCTATTACCAAACTCTGCCAGGACCCACATGGTGTGGGGTACACCTGCACGGAACTATCAGCCCCCCCTCCTCCCAACAAAGGCAGAGTGCTCTCCGTTTAGGTATTCCTTCGCCAGCGGCCTGGGTGAGCCTGCACACAGCCAGCAATGCCCAAACCTAAAGCTCAGAGACCCTAGCCAACCAGGACACCATCTGACACCAAGAAACTAGACTCAGTCCTGGCCAGTGTGACTCAGTTGAAGTGTTGTCCCATACACCAAAAGGTGGTGGGCTTGATCCCCAGTTGGGGCCTGTGCAGGAGGCAAATGATTGATTTTTCTCTCTCATATCAATGTTTCTCTTTCTCTCTCCCTGACCCTTCCTCTCTAAAGTCAATAAAAACAATTTTTTTTTTAAAATTTGGGCCCAGGAAAGACCCCACCACAGGAACCTTGCTGCAACGCCAGCTACTCTGGCAGATTGATTCACCGGGAGGGACACGCTTCTCTAGGGTGACTCAGGCCCACAAGCAGGAAGAAGGAACACAAGGAAGAGCAAAGCAGGATTGCCGGATGCTAGCAGCACACCGATATTTTGTCACCTTCCAAGTGCTGACTCCACAGAACACCACAGAGAGCCTCTAACTTTAGACAATTACTCGCAAACAGCAGCAATGAAAAGCTAAAAGTTTAGGCAAGCCCAATCCACCAATACAATAAAGGATGACACAAAAAACCAAGTGGGGCTTCCTCAAGAATACAAGGTTGGTTAAACATTAAAAAAAAAAAAATCAACTCCTGCTATGCAACACATTGGAGGCCCCTAGCAATGCAGTAAGATGAGACACATAGGTGTACATAACAGAAGCGCACTGTCCACTCATAGATTATGTGTTTTACATAAAACTCACAAGAATCACCCTAGTCAGTTTGGCTCAGTGGACAGAGCATCAGCCCGCAGACTGAAGGGTCCCAGGTTTGATTCTGGTCACAGGCACATACCTTGGTTGCAGAATCCCTGACCCTGGTCAGGGTGTGTGCAGGAGACAACCAATCAATGTGTCTCTCTTACATTGATGTTTCTCTGTCTCTCCCTCTCCCTTCCTCTCGCTCTAAAAATCAATGGAAAAATATCCATGGGTGAGGATTAACAAATATCTAAATATATAAAAGCCTAATATGTCAAGTGGCCGACTGTTTCACCAGTCACTATGACACACACTGACCACCAGGGGGCAGACGCTCCGACCGGTAGGTTAGCTTGCTGCTGGGGTTTGGCCAATCAGGACTGGGTCAGACGGGCCGGACACACACTGGAGCCCTCCCACGGTCCCTTCCCGGCCTGGATCATGCACTGGTGGGGTCCCTTGGCCTGGCCTGTGCACTCTTGCAATCTGGGACCCCCTTGAGGGATGTCGGAGAGCTGGTTTCAGCCAGATTTCCGCAGGCCAGGCCGAGGGACCCCACTGATGCACGAATCCATGCACCAGGCCTCTAGTAAAAAACAAACAAACAAACAAAAAAACCCCCTAAGAATCCGCACAAAAAGCTACTAGAACTAATAAGTGAGCTTTACATCAGACACACAAAAAAGGCCAATACACAAAATCAAGTATGTATTTCTACGCCCTACATTATGAATTACAAGAGTACCATTTATGATAGCATTAAAAAACAAAACAGCTGAAACCGGTTTGGCTCAGTGGATAGAGCGTCGGCCTGCAGACTGAAAGGTCCCGGGTTCGATTCCGGTCAAGGGCATGTACCTGTGTTGCGGGCACATCCCCAGTGGGAGATGTGCAGGAGGCAGCTGATTGATGTTTCTCTCATCATCGATGTCTCTAACTATCTCTCTCCATTCCTCTCTGTAAAAAGTCAATAAAATATATTTTTAAAAACAAACAAAAAACAGATGTAAAATTGAACAAAACATGAATAAGACCTGCATGCGAAGAACTACAAAATGCCAATGAAAAGTCAAAATCTTAAAAAAAATTGACGTGCTAGACTGGAAGATTCAGAAATGCTGAGAATTCTCCCGAATTTGATCTTTAACTTTGACATAATCCCAATAAAAAAACCAAGCAGGAATTTCCCCCCTGGAAATTTTCCAAATGCTTTTGGAAAGGGAAAGGGTCTGTAACAGCCACAGCAATCTGAAATGCAAAAATGCTGCTGGACCCACCAGGTATCCCGTCAAGGCAGCCACCCCAAACCTGCGGTGTCCCTGGAATGGAGCAGCGTGTCCACACACAGATTGGCGGACAGGTTTGAAGAAGGGGCAAAGGCGATTCAATGAAGAATTTGGGGGCCCGATGAGCAAAACATGTTATTACAGAGGTGGTTGCACAAACACTGTTTGTGAACACTACATTAACAAGGGTGGATTTAACTATAAAAATCCTTTTTAAGGTAACAATAGATTTCCTACTTTACAGACGTGGGCATCTGACCTTGAAAGACCCTTCAGTAATGGCAAGATCAAAGAGACATAAAGGTACATGAAGTTTTCTGACCTGCCACAAAGAAAGGGTTTTTAGAGTTTTCTATCCTGAAGAGAGGACACTTCCATCAAGTAGCACACAGTGACTCCTCCTGGGGTGGCACTCACCTTCTCCTCTGCCAGGTGCAGAAGCTGTTTCTTGGCCTTCTCCACATCCGAGGAAGGGCCCCTGATGACAACTGTGTCGCTTCCCGAGCCTTCCACAGGGAAGTGAATGTGGACCCCGCCGCACTCCTCCATGATGGAGCGGATCAGGCGACCCTTCGTGCCAATGAGGGAGTTGTGCAGCTTGGCAGGGATGGAGACCTCCACCTCGGCTATGTTGGCCTGAAATCACACACGGCACAAGAGAACCACATTTTTTTCTTTTCTTTTTTTTTTTAATTTGTTTCTGGCACCCATAACTGGAATCGAACCTGGGACCCTTGGGTCTACAGGCCAATGCTCTATCCACTGAGCCAAACCAGTCAGGGCGAGAACCACATTTTTGTGTGGCAAGAAGGGCAAGAGCAAGAGTCAGCCATAATCGATGTGGCGAGTATTCAATAGACCTGGTGCAGAAGGAGCCCAAAGCGTGCATGTGTGCGTGTATATGTCACACAGTGCAAAAGAGAAGCTGCGATGTCAGATCATAAACAGCGCTGCTCCTTCAGGCCCTCTCTGGTTCGAGCAGTAAAGACAAGTTTGAGATGGTTATGGATCAACCTTTCCCATTAAACTCTATATATAAGCAAGGACTCTAAGTGCATTATCCTGACTGTGGAGGGGATTTCATGGACATATACATATGGCAAATGTATCCAACTGCACACTTTAAATGTGTTGTTTCTTACATGTTCATTTTTCAAAAACTGGGAAAAATATAACACCTTGAGGACATGAAAATTTCCCAGCACCCAAGTCAAATGCTACTGCTGCTTAGGACTATCAGTAAGCACTGCCAGAGATCACCACCCAGACCAAAGCTCCTCTATGAGGGGCTCTGGCCCTCCTGTCCCTTCCTGTCCCCAGGCCAGAGCCTGTCCTACAGTCAGCTTCACATTACCAGGTCTTTCTGGATGGACAGGATGCGGCTCCGGGCAGCCTCGCAGTTGGCCCGCTTGCCTGTGATGATGATGGTCTCCGAGTTGCTATTTTCTGCTGGAAGGTCGATCTTGGTATTGCTTTCTTCACGAATCTATGAAAAAGACGCAGTGAGAAGCAACTACCAATGAGACACCCAGAGCCCAGAGCTAGGAAGTAAGGCCCCTCCTTCAAATTTAAAGCCAGAATGGCACAGGACCATGGAGGGCAAGGTGAGAAGAGCCACGATTCCGGGGACAAGCCAGCCAGTCACCTTTTTAATGTTTGCGCCTCCTTTCCCAATGATGTTCTTGTGAAACTGCTTGAAGATCGGAACAGAGATCGAATAACTATTTTCCACCTTAAAAACAAGAGATTGCCAAATTAACTGTCAAGCTAGAGCGTCCCTAAACAACAGAATGCTAGGGAAGACTTTGTCCTGCGTCTCTCTTACTTTCTGACCTTCAAAAGTTGTCAGGAGGATGGGTGAGATAACTACTCAACAACTAACTCACCTGGCCTGTCACAGCTGACAGGTGCAGGGCCCCCTTTTATAAAAAGTGGACTGCCACAGACCCTACAACCTGTCAGATGTGTGTTCCACAATCCAGAAGCAATCAAGTCGACCCCGGTGCCCTCAATTGGGCCTCTAGGGCAGTGATGGCGAACCTATGACATGCGAACTCATTTTTTTGGTTGATTTTTCTTTGTTAAATGGCATTTAAATATATAAAATAAATATCAAAAACATAAGTCTTTGTTTTACTATGGTTGCAAATATCAAAAAATTTCTGTATGTGACACGGCACCAGAGTTAAGTTAGGGTTTTTCAAAATGCTGACATGCCGAGCTCAAAAGGTTCGCCATCACTGCTCTAGGGTAAAAGGGAGTGGGTGCCACTACAGGAGGAAAGCAGGCTGGAGATGGACAAAAAGAGGATTAAGCTCAGAACACTCAGCTCTACTGGGCAGCAGGACAAGCCCAGTGCTAAGGAGCCCAGGCAGCTCCTCTCCCAGGGGGTCACAAGCTAAGTGCATGCCCGCAAGTGACTGTAGAGAGCACAGGGACGCCTGCAGCCTCTCTATCAACCGTCTCCTCCCTTTCTAGGTCTGAGGAAAGAACAATCCATAAATGACACTACTTGTACAAGTCTCTCTCCTCACTGGATGGGACAGTTTCCTAGGTGTCTGAAGACCCATGAAGGAAACAAGGTCACTTGGTATGGGACATAGAGGAGCTCTCCACTTTAATTCCATGGAACACTCAAGCTGTGACAATTTCTGCCAGTGTAATTTCAGGTGTTGAAAGGTAGCATCATGACTGTCCCAAGTCCCTGAGACGGCAGACTCACCTAATGCCCAAGTGTGCTGATGGCACACGTCCCCTACCCCCACCCCCCCATCACACAATAAAGGATGGAAAGCATCTCCTACCAAATCAGCAACCATCTTCTGCATGTATTTTGTACACTTTTCCACTTCATTCTTGGGCCCTCTAAGTTGGACAATATCACTTTTTTGTGCTGGGTCTGGGAAGTTGATGATAACCTAGAATAAATCACCAGGAGACCAAGTTCGATTATTGGTGAGAACGCTAAAAAACTGAATACTACCAAGTGCCAATCAGACCGCTGCTGGAGAATTATCAAAATAAGGCTGCTGGGCAACTACCTCTGGGAATTTGTCCCGAATTTCACGAATCCGTTCACCCTTCTGCCCAATGATTGTGCGATGAAATCTCTGCTCAATGATTAGATCCTTGGTACGCTCGTTTTCCTGAAAATACATGGACAAGAAATAAATGCACTTATTACAAGCAAGGTGAACAACCTCCCTCACAGCAGGGAGGTAGTGCCAGCCACACTGGCCAGTAGACAGCACCCATTAGCTACCTGCCCTCTCCACCTGCCACACTGTGTGCTGCCCTGGGTGCACACTGTTCTCCTGAATAAAGTGTAACGAAAGAACTGAGTGCAGACCCCTCCAACCAAAAGTGCTACTGCAGGAGCCATATTTACCAGAGCCATTCACTCAGTGCTGTGTTTTAACAAGAACTGAGGCCTGACACTGCACAGCAGGGAACGATCCCTCCTCACCACCAGGAGGCTGGGATAACTGCCCATGTGCATTAAGAATCACTCAACATGGGGCACTGAACCTATACAGTCCACACTATCCTCGAGAGCAGCAGTTGCCAACCAGTTGACGACCGCTGCTCCTGAGGGCTTGTTATGTCAGAAGATATATAAGCAGGGGTGGAAAGCAGGGAAAAACACTACTTATCTGGGAGATTCTGGAGCATTGGGGTGACAGAGAAACGAGTGTTCAGCACTCTAGTAACTAGACGCCAGAGCAAGGGACCATGGATGGTCAGGATAAGAGCTGGCTGGTGTAGGGGGGAACCTAGGACACTCCCAGGCTGAGGAGTAAGTTCAGGGACAGCCAGAGAGTGGCAGAAGGCCATGCCATGCCCTGGACTACAGCTGAGGCCACGAAGTTACTACATAAAGCTGGCCTCCAATTTGGGGCCCTTCGCATGGGTAGTGAAAAGATCTACAAGCATGTCGAACTTGTAGCCCTCAGACCACATGCTGCCCACAACCAATATTTTTGTGACCCAGCCAATATGGTATGTAAGAAACGTTTAATAAAAATTTCATAACTTAATTTTTACAATATCTTGTTATACATAATTATTATTCTTTAAATTGATGTTTCTATATATCTCTCTCCCTCTCTCTTCCTCTCTGAAATCAATAAAATATATGTGTGTGTGTGTGTGTGTGTGTGTATATATATATACATATATATATATATACATACACACACACACACACATATACATATATATATATGTAAAAACCTAAGAAACTGTTGACCAATCACTATGATGTGCACTGACCACCAGGGGGCAGACGCTCTGACAGGTAGGTTAGCTTGCTGTTGGGGTCGGCTGATGGGGACTGGGTGAGACGTGGCTGTATATGCCCTGGAGCCCTCCTGCAGTCACTCCCTGGCCCAGATCGTGCACTGGTGGGATCCTACGCGCTCTCACAATCCAGGACCCCTTGGGGGATGTCATGGAGCAGGTTTCAGCTGGATCACAGCAGGCCAGGCTGAGGGACCCCACCAGTGCACAAATCCGTGCACCAGGTTTCTAGTTATTATTAACGAACTATGTTTGCTAATTACTGATTACTCTAATTGTGTTGCATAAAACCTAAGAAACTGTTGACCAATCACTATGATGTGCACTGACCACCAGGGGGCAGACGCTCTGACAGGTAGGTTAGCTTGCTGTTGGGGTCGGCTGATGGGGACTGGGTGAGACGTGGCTGTATATGCCCTGGAGCCCTCCTGCAGTCACTCCCTGGCCCAGATCGTGCACTGGTGGGATCCTACGCGCTCTCACAATCCAGGACCCCTTGGGGGATGTCATGGAGCAGGTTTCAGCTGGATCACAGCAGGCCAGGCTGAGGGACCCCACCAGTGCACAAATCCGTGCACCAGGTTTCTAGTTATTATTAACGAACTATGTTTGCTAATTACTGATTACTCTAATTGTGTTGCATTCATTCCTCTTATACTGGGTAGGTGCACCATTTCTTTCCACTAATACCAGCAGCAAATATTTTAGCAGGCAACTGCCATGTCATTAGTCTTGTATTGACTTGTTTGGTGTGTGCAACAGTAAATATTTTGCTTTTGGAGAACAAGAAAAATAGGTTTATTTGCGTTATGCTTATTAATTTGTGCAGTTATTCAGTGTCTGGTGAGTTAATGTCCAAGGAAAACTATTAATTTTTATTAAAACGTTCTATTATTTTACGTTAACGATTACTCATTTATTTCAGCCCTTTGTATTCAGCATGTCTCTATCGAAATAAACCTACGTTTCTATGAAAATTTAAGCTTTTTTTTTGCAGCCCACATAAACTTAAACCTTGTTATTTGGCCCATGTTAGCTTTTGAGTTTGACATGCTTGATCTACAAGAATGCAAGGGTAAAGGAAGCTGACCCTGGGACTTGCTCCTACCCTGACGAGGTAGAAGTCCTACATTGTCTTGGGCTTTCCTGAGAGTCTGTACATGTTCATGCTAAGCTCTGAGCATTCATACAATATTGGACTCATCTGGAGTCAAAGGCACCCCAGTGAGTCACGTGTAGCCCACGTTGAGACTCACTATTGTGTGGTTATGTGTATTTGACTCAGTCGGGTGCTGGTAGCAGGCCGAGGACAGCATAGTACTTTAATCTGGACGTAGCAAACAAGGCCCACTGTGTCCCCTTTCTGTTTGCAAATAACGTCATACCAGTGACTCTCAATCTTAGACACACACGAGTCATCTGTCTGCCTTTGAAAATCCAGAAAAGTCTCTCACAATCCCTGGAGTTGGTACTGACGTGTCATGGAAGCCAGGGTTTGACCAAGGCTGAGTTCTCCACTGCAGATCTCCAGAGCCCCCCTGGCATAGCAGTAGCCCAACGGGACACTTAGCAATTCCATTTTCTGGGACATGCCAACAATGCTCCCATAGGACCCGCCACAGGGCTCACCATGCGGGAGGCAAGCTCCAGCAGCTCCCGCTTGGCCTGCTGCACACCCTGCGGGTCCCCCTCGATGCGGATCAGGTTGCTCTTCTCGCTGTCGGGAGGGATGCGTACAGACACCTTGTACTGATCTTTGATTCTGTTGACTTAAGAACAAAAGGAAACATTTTGGACTCAGACTGTACTACAGTCCACCAATGATTAACATGGTTAAAGCCCCAAATAACCTAACCAGTCACCCCAAAGCAGAAAGGATGATGAGGCCCCCCAGAGCAAGACTGCCCCTATTCTAGCAGGAGCTGGGCACAATCTCCACAGGACTGACCCACATGGAGCATCGACCTGTCCATGCTGAACAACTGCTCAGAGCCTGAGACTCAGCTGATCAGGAGTGTGTCCAAGGCTTAGAATACAGCAGGTCCTCACATAATGTCATTTTGTTCAATATGCTTTCGTTATGTTGATGAGAAAAAAGTTGACTCCCAGTGGACTGTGTGGAGTTTCCTCTGAGGACTCCAGGTTCCTTCCACATCACAAGGATGTGCACGTGCGAGAACTGCCCTGTCTGCACTGTCCCCATCTTTGTGAGTGTGCAGATAACGTCATACCAGTGACTCTCAATCTTAGACACACACACAAGTCATCTGTCTGCCTATGAAAATCCAGAAAAGTCCCTCAGAATCCCTGGAGTTGGAAGGGCACCTGTCCAGGGTGGGTCCCACCTTGTACCCTGAGCTGCCAGGAGAGGCTCCAGCCACACATGACCCTAAATTGGAATCAGTGGTGAAGAAAGAATTATTTTGTTTCATTAATTTTTCTCAAATGTATGTGTAGCTCACATTTCATGTTTAATATTTTAAGAGTTTTGGATTTTCATTTAAAATTTGGTGATGTTTTTGTGACAAATGTCGTAGGAGCCCGGCCAGTATGGCTCAGTGGTTGAATGTTGAACCATGAACCAAGAGGTCACAGTTCAATTCCTGGTCATGCCACATGCCCTGGTTTTGGGCTCGATCCACAGTGGGGGTTGTGAGGAGGCAGCTGATTGACGATTCTCTCTCATCGTTGATGTGTCTATCTCTTTCCCCCTCTCCCTTTCTGAAAATAAACAAATAAAATTTAAAAAATAAATAAAAATTAAAAACCAGAAGCCCTTACATTAACTGAAAATAAGAGCACCCCCATCAACTACCTCAGAACCCCTTGGCGGCCATGCTGTTGCCTAACACTCCATTGTCAGCTCAAGTGCAAACTGAGCTCTTCACTGTCTTTGCAGAACAGGTGGAGTTGAAAACCCTCCTCCAGCACCTTCTCTAGCACCTAGTGCCCACTGTTAGAGATCTGGCCCCACACCCTGGAGAAGCCTTATCACCAGAAACAGGGTCAGCATTTGGTCCACTGTGTAAATAAGGGAAGCCAAACTCCTTAAAGGGTCACAGGGAGGGTTCCAAGCACAGAGATAGCCATGATCCCATGTGCTAGGACATGGGCCGGAAGTGGCACTGTTCCAAGATGGAACCATGCAGGACAACAGACAAGCACACAGAAGCTGGTGGCAGGTTTTAGATTATGAAAGAAAATACGGGTTAGGAAATGAACCAGAAGAAACAGAACAGACACAATTCTCTGAATCACACTTAGTGGTTTCACACATCCTAGGGAGCAGAAACCAGAGATTAATATTAGCATTGCATTTCCTTACATTCTTAAGGAAACACTACAGTTAACCAAAATAAACAAAGAGAACGAAAGCAAATTTATGGTGTGTGCAGGTGAGCAGTGACCGGAGCTGCTCTGAGTGGGTGCAATGTCGTCTACTGTTTAAAATGCTCCCATAACACAAAACTGGCACCAAATAAAGCAGGTGACAAGTTTACTTGTACTCTGGAAAAAAAAAGGGACCGCACAGGGCAAAATCCAAAGAGGGCACACTCACAGAGACATCATGCTTAGTGAGGTGAAGTTCTTGCAACTTAGGGAAGGACCCACGACCAGATTGTTAGCCCTCACCTCCCACTGAAGGTGAAACACAGGACTGTCTCCAGAACTAGTGAGCACTGTGATGTGCATGATGGCCACGCAGTTAAACTGAGCAAAGGAGGAGATTTTAAAACACATCCTGGGATTCAAGCAGAACTCACCTAACACATTTCCAATGCTGCCCCACCTTGTGCTACCTACCTGACACAGGTAATCCAACACGGAACCTGGGCTCACATATTACTGTTTGTCCAACAGAATCCCTCCCTGAGTTGTCTGACTTGGGCATGAGTCTAGAAACGTCTGACTCCTTGGTGAGCTCCAGGTCAGGGGTTAGAGGTGAGGAGGACAACACTGGTAGACTTCACCCAGCAGCTCTGGCTGAAACATGCAGGATGACACCCTGGGGAATCCCTTTGCCATGGCCCTTGTGGGTGACTCAGGGAACTGACCCAGTTGATCACATTCATCTCTAGGCCAAACAACTGGGTGAGGGCACCCAGTCAAATAGCTGGTGGCTTTTCTCCCAGCCTGTCCCCATGGTGTCCACTTCACTCACTGTTGGCTCCACTCTTCCCGATGAGGTGTCTGTGAAACTTGTGGTCAATGCTGATCTCCACATAGTCCATGCGGTGAATCTGCAAGGACACAGAGCGCATCCATGAGACATGCCAGCTGGGCAGCCAGAACCACAGGAGAGAGCCAGCAGCTGCCGCCTTTTCTGACCACTCAGACATCAAGACTATTTGAAGCTCATCCCTCTGGCCCCATTGAAAGACCCTTCCTCAAAATAATGTCTTCTCCCTCCATGGCTCTGGCCAGCTTTTAACTCTCAGAATGCACCACTCTCCGACTGGGCCAGCCTCTTGTCTCTATGCCCACCCATGAAGCTGGACTGCCACACGACACAATGACAGCCCATCCCCAGTTCAAAGCACTTGAATCACTCACAGGGGCATCTTACCAAGTCTTTCACCATAGCTTCTATCTGTTCCTGGGCCACATTTACATCCTCCGTGGGGCCTTCCAGGGTGATCTTGTCCTCGCCTTCTGTAAACTCGATGTGAACCTACCGCACCAAAATAAGGGACAGTGAACACGAGATGGCACAGTGGCAGCAACTGATTCCAAACTGCTTCATGAGAATGCAAATCCACCAACACCATGAAAAAGTGCAAAGGGGGCCTGAGGACAATCATTATTTTGTTACTTAATATAGTCTAATCATCTTTCCTTTACCAAAACAGGAACTGTGAAATCCTACATACTGTGCTTGTCACCAATACCTTAAAGCATGAAATACCTTAGCACACCTTCCTATATCACTCGCACTGTAGAACCCCTACTCCCATCTGATTGCATAAAGAATGAGACAGCTAACAGGGACGGAATTTTAACCCCAGTATAGCTGCCTGAGGGTGGTCACTAGACCACCTGTTTATAACACACCAAATGAGGAGGTGACTTCATAGGGGACTAGCCTCATGAAGTTATCACATTAAGTGTGACCAGGACTTTGATCTTAGAAATAAAGTGGCTACAGGGTAAATAGGACACGACACCCACACATAACAGGAATCCAACACAATGGTGTGTCCTTTGGTGTTTCCTGGGGAAAACTGAGGCCTCCAGGACAGAGGTACAGAGGTACAGAGGACAACTCTACGAGCTCTACACTTCATACAGTTTGTAGACAAATTTTCCTCTTCAGAATTTGCAGACATAACTATTAGGAAGTTATTATGCCATAGTAACTAAGTGAGGTATTTCTTAAGATATTCATCAAACCTAGCATTCTCTCTGGTCCAACCCAGTGCAGCAGGTCAACATGTTCCCTCACCTTTGGCATCTGCTGAGTGATCTTGGCCAAGTTCTGCCCCTTCTTGCCAATGATGAAACGGTGAAGCCAAGAAGGAGCAGAGACGGAGGAGACTGTAAAACTGTTGGCCTAGGAAAACAAGCAAACAAACCAATGTCCAGGCTACCTAAGCACGCACCAGGTTGCTCAGCTGGACTTAGCGATAGACAAGCACCCTGACCCAACACGGCCCGGGCCCTGGATTCCCTGGAAGGCAGTTACCTTGGCATAGACCTCAGTCAGTGCCTGCCCTAGCTTTTCAGGCTCCCCTCGAAGTATCACAGTCTCAGAGATACTGTCAGATGGTGGGATCTCCACAGAAACTCCAGTTCTTTCAAGAATCTCCTGCAAGGAATTGCCCTTGGGCCCAATGACATACTTGTGCTGGGATTTCTTCACTTCCACTGCGATGGTTGTGGTCTTCTTTTTCTAAGTAAGAGTACCATAAAGATGTCAGAGGGAAGGGCACAGGAGAGGCAGGCGAAGACAGAATATTGTCACCAAAAGGGCAGGGATCAGGGGCCTAGACTACAGCTGCTGAGCCCCGGAGGGGGAAACAATGACCAGCCAATCCCAGAAACCCCACTCATCATGGGTTGGGTTTTCTCCTTAGAAGAATCACCTGATAATTTGTCAAGCCCAAACTGATTACAACAACTTGGAAAAGCAGTGATGAGTTTGGAAGAGCAGTAATACCAAATCCTCTCCTCAAATTAAGGAACAAGTTTCAGACCTCAAAGTCACCAAATGGAGCTAACAGCTTACTCAAAGACGTGGCCACTTGTGAGCAGGCATCTAGCCCAGGGTGGGAGAGTGAGGGAGGCAGGAGGCGGAGTGAGGTTGGCAGATAGAAGGGAAAGCCTTCA